CTACAACATAAAAAACAGGATGGAAATTTTCTTAAAAGCATTTATTCTACTGAAAGCAGCCACATAGGAAAGTAAATTGATTTATGTTTTATATAATTCTAAATTTTTTAAGGTATTTGTTTTCAGATCTGTATTTTACATTGTGCTTTTTTGTTTTGTTTTGTTTATTTGTTTGTTTCACTTAATAGCCTTTTATGTCACCTCGGTACCCTGGAGGTCCAAGGCCCCCATTGAGGATACCTAATCAGGTAAGATTTATGTGCTACTTAAGTTTTTATAAGAATTGATAAAGATCTTGAGAATGCCACAAATACTTGTTGTGTTATAAAAATATAAAATTATCCTTTCCTTATTTAATGCTACTTCTCGTAATATATAGTCTACATAAAGGGTTGGCAAACTTCAGCCCATAGGCTGGCTGACTGTTTATATAAATAAAGTTTTATCGGAACATAGCTACACAGATACATTTATGTGTTGTCTGTGGCTGCTTTTACACTACAGTACAGATTTGAGTGGTCATGACAGAGACCATATGTGGCTTGCAGCCCTATAATATATACTATCTGGATCTTTACAAAAAAAAAGTTTGCTCACCCTTGACGTCTACCTTATACTTTGAACCTAATTTTTAAAATTTACATAATTTTGGTAAATGCTGATTATTCTCTCATTTAAGGGATGGCTATACAATTTTCTATGAACATACTTTGGTTTACTTTTATATAATATAGTTTCAATATCATGTCTCTAACATTCACATAAGTTTTGTCCAATTATAATGACATATTGGGCAAGCAATTAGCTGCTTCTAGAAGGGTTAGATCTATTAATAAATAAATACTTAACAGTGAATCTTCCAACTTTTTTTAATCTATAAGAGCTCTAAAATGTCATAATGTTTTATTCTCTAACAGTTTTTTCCTCAATATCATAAGTATTGATTTGCTAAAGAGAATAAAACAGAATTCTTACAAGGATTTTATAGTTTAGTTTTACAATATAGGTAATGTGCATGTATGTAACACAAGAAGAAATTAAATGCTTAACATTACGTCACATTTATGTCACTTTCTCTTATTCTGTTATTTGTATACCACAGCTTTATCCCAGATCCTTGTTACCGCAATAAATTCTCTCTTTCATTCTTATTTTCTTTCCATTTCCACTTCCTTCCCTGCCAAAAATGGAACACGAACATTGCAGTTACTAATTTACTTGATAGCAGCAGAAGTCTGCTGCTTCTCTCCTAACTCTTCCTGAAATTATGCTCTGTCTTTGAAGTGTCCCAATTTGCTGCTGTTTTCTGCTTCTAGTGCACAGCAGGATGTGCCAGCACCCAGATTCACCCCCAGGGGAAAATTTTAAGCAGGAAGAAGTGCTGGGTCATCTCATGGTTGTAGTACTTGGCAGTCCTCACATTAGCAGCTGGAGCGTATTTCTCCTAGAGACTGAATCTGCATGCAGTACACAGGGCCAGGGAAGCATGGCATGAAATAGGAAAGGGAGGTGCACAGATGCCAAGTGTTCCAACATATGGGAATTTTATTTTCTCTGTGGGTGAACCTGTATATATTGTCAGATCTACTTAGGTAGGTGCCTGAGTCATTTACATTTCTTTTTAAAGGGCAGAAGTTTGCATCTTTTATTGGAGGCTTCATGGTTTTTCAAACATCCCATCTATAGCTTTGTATATTACATAGGTATAGGAGGTTCCTGAAAATCTGAATTAGGGAAATGTGAAATTCTTGTATAAGTGTGTTATTAGAATTCTTTTGAATTCACGTATTGTGTGTCAATGATGAAAATGTGATAAAATTATTGGAATTGCATTCATTTGACATATTGAAATGCCTCCAGTGTATAAGATACTATGCTAGGTTCCGTATCTACAGAGAATAACAAACTATAAGACACTCTTAGGAAGTGATGGGGATGGGGATGTGAAATTGTAAATCTAAATTGTTGAAACTTTTTAAGAACAAGTATGTAATGTCTTTGTATTTTTAAAAGAGACAATTAAAAAGTTAAAGATAATACATTACTATACAGGCTCTTTTTCCTCAAGAATTTTAAACAGTCTTTACCTAAAATATATTTTAAAACAATTGTTCTCTTCTGTAAGTGGTCTTTTTTGTCTATTCCTGCACCCCAACACACACACATTTAAACTTCATTAATTCAGATGTCTATCATCCAAGCTTGTAATTTGCATTTATACTATTTTTTAAAATAATTGTGTTAATAGAATAAATAATATTATTTTAGGAAATGTTTAACCTGTTTAGGAGCATGACCTTTTAAGCACAAACATCTTCAATTTCATTGTGTAGTCATTAAGGTAGAGTTGGAAAAACTATTTTTGGTGATTAATTGGAATGATATATATAAAAACAAAAATGCATTAAAATATTTTTAATTTTGATTTCATTTAAATTGATTATAAACTAATAAAATTTGGTTTTATTAATAGGTTGTATCTAAGAAAATAGAAAGTGAAATATTAACCTCTTCACTGGTATTGACTAGTGATTTTGAATATGTAAAAGGCCTTCCTTTAATAGACAAATTCTTCACATTTTATAATTACTAATGATTCGACCACAGATTTTAATTTAAATTGTCCTGAAACCATTTTTATGGTTCTAGACTAAATCCATACTGTTATATATTCTTCATATATTTATAGGATTGGGTGTTTGGAATATGGTATAATATCATTATGCTGAAAAAATATAGGAAAGGGTAGGAGTGTCTAAAATGACGAAAGGAAAGTAAAATTACAAAAATATGCAATATAGTAGAGAATAAATATATACGGGGAAACATATGAAACAAACGTTAAGTCCACAAAATATGTTTGACTTTACAATTTTACAGTGGGATTGGTTCAACTGTCAGAAGGGGTCCTTGGTGTTGAAACATCTGTAACCTGGAACAGAGCAGGTCTTTATCCTTCTCATGAATAACCTGTCTAATCAGAAAAGTTCACAATATCCATTCAGTACTATGTTGAGGAAATAAAGGCAGCCAGAAGTACAGAGACTGTTAATGAGTTGAGTGACACCAAGAATAATTAAAGTATTGATTTATCGATCCTATAGAATTTTGAAAATTCATACTCTCTGTCAACAGATACATGGATTAAAACACTGTCAACTGATATATGAATTGAGAATACACATTGTTAATTCTGTTGTCCATTTTAAACTCTAAAATTGAATTTGGTATTCTAAAAGCACATTTACATCTAACCAATCTACTGAAATGCTCAAAGATATCTTTTCAATAGTAGATGAGTGGTTAAATAAATTGTGATATATTCAAATGATGAAATAATATGCATGTATTAAAAGACATGCTATAGAATTAAATTTATTGAGATCATAAATTGTTCATAATCTGTTACCAAATATTTTTTCAAAAGCACAAGACATATCAGTATATTACCTCTGCTATACAAATGTACAAACTCGGAGAATTACCCCCACTCATCTCTCCCCCTCCACACACACATGAACACATTTGTCAAAAGACTGTAAGGCCCATATCCTTTATTTCTGGGTGTTGGGATTATGTGTTATTTTGCTTTTTAAAATTTCTGTATTTTTAAAGTTTGCATTGAGCAGGTATTCCATTTGTGATTAGAAAAAGGTATTGGTTAATTATATACATAGGTAAATAAAAGTACAGATGTTTTATTCTTCTAGTTATTCAATATATAGGATTATCTTTTATTAATATTGAATGTATAGTTCTTACCTGGTAAGAAGAAAAACATAATGGATGGTAAGTATAAGCAAATCTTAAAAAGATTTTTCATCACTTTACAGATAGACGAAATGTCAGCAGATATTTGATCAAAAAAAAAATTGAGACATTTACTTATATACTGAAAATAAATTACTGTATTCCTACGTAACCAAAGTACCTATATTTCGAACAAACTACATATTTACTCTTCTTTACATGTTCTTTCATTCAGAATAAATGCTACTTAGCATATTCTTTACCAAAAATTTTCTATCTTTATAAAATATTTTACACAGAGAATTTGACTTTTATTTAATGATAATATGAAAACATAAGAAAGATTTCAGGCCAGGCGCAGTGGCTCATGCCTGTGATCCTAGCACTCTGGGAGACCAAGGTGGGAGGATTGCTTGAGCTCAGGAGACCAGCCTGAGCAAGAGCAAAACCCTGTCTCTACTAAAAATAGAAAAATTAGCCGGGTTGTTGTGGTGCATCTGTAGTCCCAGCTACTCAGGAGGCTGAGGCAAGAGGATGGCTTGAGCCCAGGAGTTTGAGG